CTTACCAAACAAGCCACTTTGAGAAAATGTAAACCACACTATAAGAACACCAAGAAATACACAAGATCCTACAAGATCATCCAAAATAATTGCTTCATTAGCATCAGTTGTAAGCTCTTGATCTAATGAACTTTCAGGAGTAATATAAGGCATGACTCCATTAATACTACTTTCAGGCGTGATATAAGGCATGACTCCATTAATACCACTTTCTGAAACACTTTCATCTGTCTTTTTAGACAATTCTAAATCTACGATATAAGATTATAAATTTTACTCAGAATCTTAATTTTAAATTGTTATAATAAAAGTTAATATTATCTGAAGAACTCTTATATAATTCACTAGTAGAGGTGCTTGCTAATGATTCACTATTATTTAAATTAGTTTCAAAGATATAATTATTACTTTGTTACTTTTTTTTCACAATCCAATCATAATCAAATATTAAATTGTCTTTGGAACCATCTTGTGCATTTGATATTCCACAACATTTGAATGATCTTTGAATAAGTTTAGGGTCAATATTTTTCCAAGCTTTGTCAATCCATTCTGCAACTGTGCTATAAGCGGGACATTGAATGCGCCCTTTAGGTGTTAATGTTTTTATCACTTCAGACATCCAAGTATTATAAAAATAATGAACCTAAAAAAAAAAAAAATTAAAATAATAATCAAAAGATATAAAACTAATTTATTTATTGTCACAGCTTATAAACCTATTTTGATATGAATTTTTAAAAAAATTTTTGGTCACTTTTTTTTTAAAGGTTAAATTTAATAATTAAAAAGTGTATGTGAATTAAAGAGTAATATGAATTTTAATAGGGCTTATATTTTAAATTATGACTTCAGATTTCAGCATCAGCCGCAGTATTTTTTTTATTTTTTGTATTACTATAGATTACCCACCTTTGTTTTAAAAGGTTTATTGATTGCAACATCAAGAGGTTGCAATTTAGGCGTTAATCCTTTAGGAATAACTGCCAAGTTTGTATTATGTTCATAAAATTGTTGTTTCACCGAGTTTGTTAAATGTCCTTTAAAAGAATCTAAAACTAAAAGAGATCTGAGATGTTTGGATAATGGAGCATGATGAGTCCAAATATTCTCAATCCACTATAGCATTTCATCAGCATTCATCCATCCTTCCTTATTTGCATGAACTTAAATACTACTTGGAAAAGTTTGCCAAAGAACATTAGCAAGCTTAAAAATGATCATTGGTGGTAATTTTGTTCTATCTGCCAAGCATGTTAGAACTACAGTAAAATGGAACTTTTCATAACCACATGTTTGGATACTAATCATTTTGGCATCAGTTTTTTCAATTGTTGTAGCACTTGGCATTTCAAAATAAATTGGGGTCTCGTCTATATTAGCAATAAGTTTTAATAGATAGTTGTGTTGAATCTGGTGATATAATACAAGGTTCAAAAACTCTTGTTGCAACTCCTCTAAATTTTCAGGCAATTGTTGAGCCATAGTTGTACGTTAGCGGTTACTTAAATTATTCTGGCGCATGAATTTATCTAACCATTTTTCACTCCATTTACACTCATAAATTGATGGATACAATCTACTAAACTGTACATTTGAAGCTAAACTCTTAGCATTATTTCATACCATATAATGTGATACAGCCTTTTGATTCTTGCGCAAGTCTTTAATCTATTTTACTAACTCATTTTCAAGGGCAGGATATTTAGGTCAAAAGCCTGCATTAAGATATTTCATATAAGGAGCAGCAGCTACTAATTGCTCTCATTTTTTTTGCCAATCTTGTATTTGATTAGGCTAAAGATCAAATTTTAATGCAGTATTTCGAACATTGACAGTAGGATTTCATTTGAGATAAGTAAGGATAGTTACTTTTTCTCTTGCGCTCCAAGTTCTTTTTTTTTTTTAGTTACAGAGCTTGTTTTTGTTATTCGATCTGTAAACCATTTTATAAATGTACTATGTTATTATAAAATTCATATAATTCATTAGCCTAAAAAAAAAACTTACATAAAAAAGCCAAGCGACAGTTCGCGTTCAAAAATTCACATTCTTCATAATTTAAGTGTGACATATAAAGAATCACGGGAGGAAATCCAATAGAAACATGTGAAGAACATGTAAAATTTGACAATTTATAGTTAGTACCAGTATGCCTAGTGCTGTTAGGCGAAACCTCGAGTTTTCGCCACAGACGAAAGATGAAACCTAGTTTCAACTTTCACCAAAAAAAAATTAAATCGGCGAAATGGCGAAACTGGCGAAACTAATAAAGGTGGCGAAACTGGTAGAAGGTGATAAATCTAGTAAAAGAGGCAAGAATAGA